AGGGCTGCATTACAAAATTTGGAAAAGTGGTTATGTTTCATCGAATCCTAGAATTGTAGAGTTGGAAGGGACCATGAGGGTCATCTAGTCCAACTCCTTCAAAGCAGGACCTTTTTGCCCAGTCCCCATATAGTTTTAGAAAGTGTAAATTTAAAATACAAAGTGCAAGTTTAAAATACAAATTGGGTTAAATTTTGCCTCCTGATCTAGACAGTTATTGCCTATTTTGATTGATAGGAGCTGCTAAAGATTCAGACAAGGACTTTGCTTACACTATAAGCTGCTTTTCAGAGGACATGTGAGGAACTAAATCCAGCACCTTCTGGATGCACATGGACATGCTATTGAACCACACAGTTTTCAAATTAGGTTGGAAATGGTACAGGTGTCCTTAACCAAATAAATAAACCCCATTCCCTGACTCTCCCCAATTTTAACTAAATTATATCCCTCTTGCAGCCTTCTAAAAACTGTATCTAAAAGGGTCATCACAAAAGGTAAGGAGTGAAGGGTACTCTTTCTTTCTCCCACTGTAATTTGAGCTCTGTAACTGCAGCCCCCCTCCTTCATGGATCACTGCCTTGTCTTTTTTTTTTTTTATAATAATATTTATTATTTTTTCCAAAAACTTAAACACTAAAAAAACAACAATACATTACAACACATCAAATCAACAAAAACAAAACAAGAACAATAAAATCAATCAATCAATTTCATTATCCCATCTTTCATTCACTTATTTCCACGACCTCCTCACACCTCCCTTAACAATTTCAATATCTTATCTTTCATTCCCTTATTTCCACGACCTCCTCACACCTCCCTTTTTATATTCCACTTCTATTAATTGTTTCAGCAATTCCTTTCCATCTTCCTCTGTTTCTATCCTATAATTATCTTAACATATTCTGACCTTATTTTTCCCTTTAATATTCTATTAATCTATTTATACTTAATTCCTTATAGCATTTCTACTAGAGCCATATAACTTCATTCCAACATTTTTCTTAGATTCATTATTTTTACAGTATTTCTATAAATAGTCCTAAACTTTTTCCAGTCTTCTTCCACCGACTCTTCTCCCTGGTCTCGGATTTCTGCCAGTCGTTTCCGCCAATTCCATATAGTCCATCAGCTTCATCTGCCATTCTTCCTGAATAGATAAATCTTGTGTCTTCCAGTACTTCACAATGATTATTCTTGCTGCTATTGTTGCATATGTGGAAAAAATTCTATCCTTCTTTAACACCAATTGGCCAACCATGCCCAGGAAAAAGGCCTCTGGCTTCTTGAAAAGGGTATATTTAAATGCCTTTTTCATTTCGTTATAAATCATCTCCCAAAGTGTCTTAATCCTTGGGGATGTCCACCAAAAGTGAACTCTAATCCTCAAATTCGTCTGTTTTTCTTTAAGTTCAGTCATAACAAGCGTCAACTTATGTTCATCAAATTGCCTCTGTAGGGCTGGGGCTCTCTTTCTCTTTCTCTCCAGTTGTGTTACTTTACATTCAGCAACAACTGCTTTTTCCCTGGCTTCCTCCACAGTTTGCCGTATCAAAGTAGGTTCCTGTATCACTTTCTGGGTGGTTTCTGTATTGGTATTATTTATACTTTCTGTATTTAGGTTGATTTTAGTAATTGAAACATCCATTTTCGCATTTATCGTGTCCATTTTCCTGTTAAGCTGCTCCAATGAGTCATTTATCTTATAAAATGCATCCACTAAAGCCTCTTCTGTCGACATTCTTCTTGGTTTTAAATGTGCTGGTACAAAGGCTGCATCAGAAGGAGCAGGGGGACACCTCTTCTGGATTGTTGCCAAGTCCTCCCAGACCTTAATGTTTTGTCCGCAGTTGACTAGTCTGTTTTCCTCTTCCATTTACCATAACACTTAAAAGATTCAAGGTCAGTCCCAGAGTCTCATGGTTTTTAACTTGCAGCTGGAAATTCCCCTAGCCCAGCTCTTGTAAAACAACTGGTTTCAAAGGCTTCCAGTAGGGGGAAATAGTTTCTATTTGTAATAGTCAATAGTATCCTCTTTTCAACAATCCAAAATTAGTTTCAAATTAGTTTCAATTTGCAGTTACTTTTACTCCTTTTTAAAGCAGCCGGAGGCAGTAGAAACAATGTATTTCTCTTGTTTAACTAGCTGTCAATGAACGTTCTAAACGCTGTCAATGAACATTCCAAAAGACGTCAGTCCTACTAGCAGCCCGTTTCCAGGATCAGAGTGGCGGTGTTTTAAATCTCTTCACTCTCTCCCACAGGCATAATCAATCCACAACTTCCCCCTCTCTTCTCCTGCCTCCAAGAGGGGGTTTAATGTTCTTTATTGATGGAAGTTTAATCTTTTACAAAAGACTTTCCAGGACTCCAGCTTGCAACTTCATTGCCTCAGTCTATTTACAAAAGGGGAAGGCGGACTTCCTGTTTTGAACCTCCCCATTGCGATACCAAATTAAACCTTTAGAAATCCAATTCTTCCGTTTCAGATCTACTCACGGGTAATTACTTTAAAGTCAAATTGTCCACAGGAAAAAGTCAGCGCTCTCTGGCAACAGCTATGCGGCTTCGCTCCGTGGAAGAAGCAGACAATTCGATGCACCGTGCCGCTCACCCCACGTCGCTCCGGAGCCCCAAAAATCGGGGTTCCCCACGAGTGAGGGAGGCGCAAAAGGTGCCCGCCGAATCCCACGTTCACAGGCTTCTCCTGCCTGTGATTTTAACGGGTCTCCGCCTTCGCCATGGCAGCCAGACCCAGATTCCCACGGAGCTGATTCCTCCCGGTCAGAGGAATTCCGCCATTACCGGAGGCGCCTCCCCGGAAGTCCATGGCTCACTGCCTTGTCGTGGCAAAGGGGCTTAAACAACTCAGAGAAGCTATGAGCAAGAAGATCAAACCTAGCCATTCTGAAGGAAATCAGCCCTGAGTGCTCACTGGAAGGACAGATCCTGAAGCTGAGACTCCAATACTTTGCCCACCTCATGAGAAGAGAAGACTCCCTGGAAAAGACCCTGATGTTGGGAAAGATTGAGGGCACAAGGAGAAGGGGACGACAGAGGACGAGATGGTAGGATAGTGTCCTCAATGCTACTAACATGAGTTTGACCAAACTGCGGGAGGCAGTGGAAGACAGGAATGCCTGGCGTGCTCTGGTCCATGGGGTCACACAGAGTCAGACACGACTAAACGACTAACTAACAAAAACTGCAGCCCCATTGACCCCCCCTAGCATGTTCACTGTAGCCATCTGGGACAAATGTCTAGAAGCCAAGGGTACAATAGAAAGCAAGTTGTCTTGGTCCTGTGTATATGACCTTAGCATTTTTTTAACTTGACAGAGCAACAGTGGGTGGCCTTCTTCTTCGGTGGTGTGGTGGAGAACAAATACTGACATAATCTGACATCAAAGGTCCCTCCTTGCTTGACCAAGTGAATGAGGTGACAATGAGACTTTCAAGTTTATTTGTGGCAGATGTGCATAAAGGAAGTCAAAGGAGGAGGAAAGGAGTCAAGCAGAGGATAATTACTTCAGAACTTTTCTTTGATGGGGCTCCGACTCCTTGGCATGATTGTTTGCATTTTTAATTAAAAAGCCAAAGACTGAATTATGGGTAGAACTTATGCAATTAGAAGTAAGTACCACTGAGTACAATGGAGCTCACTCCAAGGAAGCCATTCACAGGATCTTAGTCCTGCTGATTATCACAAACTGGGTATTATCCTATGGACTGCCGCTCTTTGGAGTGTGTGTGTGTGCATATGCGTTGTGTGTGCATGTGTTTAATGCATGCGTGTGTGCATGCGTTCATGGATCAGCACAGCTTATTGAGCTATATTCTTTGGTCCATTGCTACAGATACTCCTTGGGATGTGTGGTTTTTTTGGGCTGTCCTGGTGAGCTTCTGTGCACCAATGGTTACCACTACATCATGGCACTTCCGTACTCCTTTCTTGCAAACTTGTTTAAAGGTTACCCATTCCACAAAAACAGCACGTTGAAAACACAACTCTCTGGAAGAGGAATATGAAGCTGATTAAACAGCAACAACAACCAGAGCCATCCTTTCAGTACCAGCAAGTTATCCCTCTCCCCCTCCCTTCTAAAAGTCATATTTCTTTCTCACTTTCCCTTTTACCATTCTGCTCCTTGCTGGGATGATGGAAAGGCTTTTGGTCTACTTCATCCAGGGTATAAAGTTTCTACCCCCACTCCATCCATAATGACCGATTCATGCACGATTTGTGGCAGATCTTATCGCTCCCGCCGAGTGCTCTAACCTTCAAACATTTTAAACCTTTTTTACAACAGCACTTAAATCTTGCTCAGAAATTGATTATTGTCTCATTTTAAACCCTCAGCTGATTGATTGTCGGCTAGGTCCAGAGCTTATCCCCAGGTGTACTTAAAAGCTCAAAATGACATTGTATCCCCCTACTGCGTAATGATGGTCTCCTAACGGAGGCCATGGATAAATCCCCCCGTTTTCTCCCTGCTTTCATTAGAACCTAGATAAAGGTTATTGGGGGGAATCGATCAGAGCCATGTCTCATTACCCTTTACTGCATAGGATGCCTTTCAAGGCCTGCATTAAGGCGAGATGTTCTCTTGATCATTGCTGCTGTTCAGCAAATAACTACTCTGATTGGGGATGTTCTAAAATACGCATTCAGTGGCTGAGGTCTGCCCCTTGCTCCTGTTGTCATAGGATGATGCCACAAGTGATATATCAGGCCAAGTTCAAGGTACTGGTACTAACACATAAAGCCCACAGGTGGGCAGAGGGCTGTTGTGCTCATATCCAGCTTGCAGGCTTCCCACAGGGATCTGGCTAACTACTATGTGAGAACAAGATGCTGGACTAGATGGGGCTTTGGCTTGTCTTACATTTTACACCAAATACAGCTCAGGACCAGGTTTATTGCATTATACCTAGTAGGTCACTTCTGTATGCTGAAGAGCTTCTCTTGCAAGTTCCAAAGATATCATAAACTGTAAACCTGCTCAGTTTTATGCTCAGAGCATGAGATTCTTAATCTCAGGGTCATGGGTACAAGCTGCATGTTGGGCAAAATATAGCAGCAGGTTAGACTAGAATCAGGCATGTCCAAAGTCCGTTTCAGAGGCCTAACACAGCCGGATGGTCAGTTTAATCCAGCCCCCATGGCAGTTTATTTCCTGGGGTAAAATCCTAAAAAACCTCAACAACTTCAATCCTAAAGAAAAGTTAACAACTTTGGTTGGCCCTTTGGTCGGCCCTCACGGCCCTTCTCTTCATCAAATCTGGCTCTCTTTGAAAAAAATTTGGACACTACTGAAGGGTTAAAGTCAAAGAGTTCAATGGAAGCAGAGAAGGGGGTGCTGGATGTCAGCAGTTTCATTCTCTCCCGTGCTGCAGAGTGTGTGTGACTACTGGATCACATGCTCTCTGTGCTGACATTCCATTCTTTGGAAGCGAGGGAACAGAAGGAACTGTGCGCCACTTCCGTCTTCTTTGTTCTGTGTTCTGTTCTGTTGTTCTCTCTCGGCCACCCTTCATGGCGCTTCCGTTGGAAAAGGGGCGTGATTTAAATAGCCCAGTCACCCCGCCCCTTCCCATTGTGCCCTGCCTCGTTCCCTGCAAGGGTTCAGGTGAGTGCCAAATGCTTTGGGGCGCAGCAAACTTTTCGGAGGGGGGGGACTGGGGTGAGGATGCAATGCTAGTGGGATGATGGAGGGGGAGATAGCAGGCAGGGAAGCTGCTGGGCAGGTGGGGGAGGGAGAGAGACCACCCCAAATGAAGGGAGGTGGGTGTGCAGCCGAGCTCCCCCTCATTTCAAGTATTCCGGGCTGAAAAATGTCCCCCACATGCCCTCCTGTGTTTGAAATTCTAGAATAAGAAACTGCCTCTTTCCCCTCAGCTGCTATGTCTCTTTGTGACATCACAGGAGACCACCCATAGACAAGGCTGGGGAAACTAGGCCTCAAGGGGGGGTGCATTTATAAATAAACAAAAGGTAACCGAGGAGCCCCCCCCTTGTGACACGTGTGGCATGTGGACTCCATGGCACCCTAAGATACCCTCCTTAGCACCCACCAAGGCCCCCTGACCCTCCCATTTTAAAAAAGTTTCCCCAAAATCTGTTAGTTTTTACAGTGCTGCAAAACCATTTGTTTTGGCAGTTGAGGAATTGGTATTATTTATTTATTTTTCCCTTTGTGAGAGATAAACAAACTGGTTCCTTTGAATTAAGGTCTCTGGATCATTTTAAAATAAAGTGATCTGGACAAAATGGGTCAAATTAGGAAAGCTTTTTATTATACACACTTCCAAGTGGGGTAACCCAAGATCAGGCACATCTTCTTCAGGAAAAACACATCTTATAAAGTTGCTTCACTGGCCGCAAGTACCTCCTTCCACACCCACAGGAAGGGGCATACCAGTTTACAGAGGTATTACGTATACCTCATTAACATTTTACCATTCCACTTCCCATGTTAATCAGAATACAATACAATACAATACAATACAATACAATACAATACAATACAATACAAATACCTTTATTGGCATTTCAAGTTAAGAAATTTCAAAATGGCTTGAGCTACAAAGTCTGTCTTCTTCCTGTTTCCTTTTTCTGAGAGATTTGAATGGGGAAATCCTTTCGATTCTTCATGAATAAGAGGCAGTGGGGTGAGGGAGGCCAGGGCCACATCCACACCATTTAAAGCGCTATGAAGCCGCTTTAAACACTCATGGCTTCTTCCCCCAAAGAATCTGGGAGCTATAGTTTGAAAAGGGTGCTGAGAGTTGTTAGGAGACCCCCTGTTCCCTGCCAAGAAGGGAACCCTACCCCTACCCCTACCCGTAACCCTACCCCTGACACTAACCCTAACCCTAACTCTAACCCTAATGCTAACCCTTAACCGTTAACTAGAGCTACAATTCCCAGAGTTCCCTGCCAAGAAGGAAACCCTACCCCTACCGCTACCACTACCCCTGACGCTAACCCTAACTCTAACCCTTAACCCTTAACTAGTGCTACAATTCCCAGAGTTCCCTGGCAAGAAGGGAACCCTACCCCTATCCCACCCATAACCCTACCCCTACCCTAGCCTAACCCTAAGACAACCGTAACCCTAACCCTAAATCTAATCCTAACTCTAATCCTAATCCTAATCCTAAACCACTCTAACAACCCTCCGTCCCCTTAACCACCTACAGTTCCCAGAATCCCTGGTGGGAAGCCATTCCTGTTTAAATCGTCTTCATAGCACTTCCAATGGTGTGCCTAATGTGGCCTAATGTTCCCTCCCTCATTTTCTTCTCTCTCCCCACTGCCCCATCACTTGCAATGCAGCAGATGTCCGCCTGCAGTCTCCCTTCAAAGCTCCTTCTCTCGGGTATGGCCACGGCCTTGTCCATTGCTCACTGCCCGTATTTCACGTTCATTTCTCTGATGTAAATAGGGACGTACTGTGGTTCTCTTCATGACTTTGAAGGCTGGACTTGGGGAAAACCTCACCGGCTCCAGACATCCCTGTAAGGCAAAGGCAAACAGGTGAGTGGGATGGGCCCCATCCGACAGCGTCCCCCCAGACTCCTCCTCTGTTTGGCTGTCTGTTCACAAACAAGGCTTCCAAACTAGTTTGCATCCATCTCAGCCAGCGTAGTCTCGCGGCATCCAATGGCCTGAATGCAAACTCTTCTGACAACCATCCACCAGCTGCAGCCCTGCCAGGTCCATTGCCAGACATCAGCCAGCTTCAGAGCTGAATATCAATTGCCTTCTAGTATCGATCCCACCAGCAAGTAAACTTTGTACTTGCCTTCTCCTTGCTCCACAGCACCCCAGCACCGGGCGATTGCCTCCTTCTGCTTGCCAGCTTGCTGCCATGGGGCAGGAGACCACCTGGGCTGAGTGCCACCAAGTTGCCCATTTCTCTCTGGGGAGGGCAACTTCCCAGGCTTGCACATTGGCCCACATTTATACCTGCTTAGCTGCCAAATGTTTTTGTCACATCACAGTCAACCCACAGACAATGGCAGCAGCTGGGGTGGTATCACCATCACCCCCTCAGCCCTCACAATGGTGAGCGCAGCTCAGCAGCCAACCCCCCCCCCCCAGTTGTGCCAATATCTATGAAGGCCACACTGGAAACCCAAGGGACAGGAGGGGGACATTTTTCAGCCCAGTGGTTGCATTTCCCTCCACACAACACTAGTCAAATGCACAAATGAACAGAGCAATGAAAGCAAGCCTTATCTTGGCACAGGAAACTGTTCAAGAAAAGACCTGCAGAGAGAAAGTTAGCCTCTCGGGGAAAAAAACACTTTTTCATCAATCAGTCAGTCATTTATTGTATGTGACTAAAAGCCATTACAAATCCAGTTACAAAAGCACCAAACCCAATGACCCAAACTATAGCTCCCAGATTCTTTGGGGGAAGAAGCCAGGTGGATGCCATGTGAACTCAGCGATGTGTCAAGTGATGGCTGCATACTACCTCCAGGTTCAGAGGCGGCATATTTCTGTATATCAGTTTCTGAGAATCACGAGGGCTGTGGTGGTCAGATTCTGCTTGCAGTTTTTGCACAGACATCTGTGAGAATAAGATGCTGAACTTGGGCCACTGGTCTGATCCAGGCAGCTTTCTTATGTTACAAAGGAAGACTTCCAAGAGAATACTTTTAATGTAGCACTCCAAGAAATGCTGCAAGTTTCAGAAAGTTACATAACGCACTCCAAAAATAGAAATTTTGAAACCATTTCAGTACTGTGTCATTTTACTATTTTTCTCCATCTCTTATCTGAACTATGTACTTGCAGTTTCTTTGAGTATGTTTTTTCCAATTTATTTTTATTTGATAGCCATTTCTCCCTTTCTGAGGAAGGAACAAAAACATTTGTAGTTCTCAGTGTCCCTGACTTAAGAGTCTGACTCCTCTGCCATGCCTACCAAGCGCTCACTGGCTGGTGTGCCTTTCCACTGTAGGGAGATCAGAAGAGGACCGTTTCATTGGCAGAGGCCTATATGAAACGAGCTTGCTATTCAGACACAAGGATATTGTTTCAGTCATTTATTCTTATTTTTAATTACTTAGCACCACAGGCAGCTCTCTCCAAAAATGGCAAAGGCTACAATCCCACCTACATGGGAGGAACCCCTACTGAATTCAGTAGGACTTACTTCCAAGTAGGCATGGGTGCAACAGTGCTGCAAGGCTCTCTCCCTCCTTCTCCTGCAACATAAAAGATGGGCATGTACCCCAATAAATTCTCTTTATGCTGAAGATCAGCAAAACTATGCAAATCCTGCTATTTTCCAACCCAAGCTACACCTGAAATATGGTTTCCCTGCTCTCTAGTAAATGCATTTCAGAAAAATAGAACATGAGCATGCTTGTTTTTAACTGAGGATTTCACATCAGGCAAAGCTGCATTGTGTCTTTGTATCTGTGCTTCATACATAGCTTTTTTATTTTTTAGGCAGTGGCATACGGCTACAAGCCACAAATATTTATGATAAATTATTTCAAGTCTGCCTTCACATTGAGTTCATGCAGCTGCCCATGTCAGGAAATTCTTGTGCCACATAAAGAAAACAGTGTTGAGATTTCAAGCTTTAGGTTTTATTAGGTCCCAACAAGCTCTGTTGCAAAACATGATTTGGTGTATGTTTTTCTTACAAAGATGTACTCCTTGCTGTCTGCCTCTTGTCACGTTTCTCTGCCTGGCTGGTACAAAAAGAGCAACCCAGAGCCTTGGAACAAGCTGGGACCCAATGACCAGTACAAGGTATGGTATGAAATACTTAACTAGGGTTATGATGCTGGTTATCCTAAAGGCCAGGGATGGGAAGCCTGGTGTCCAGCAGAGATTGTTGGGACTCCAACTTCCACCAGCCCCATCCCTAATGTCTATGGATGAAGGGCAAATAATAATAATAATAATGGCCATTTGGTGGGAAGTATAATAAGCTTCAGCTTTGGAAGGCCCGGGGTATGTGATCACAGCATTTTGGGGTTGGGCTAGATGACCCTCGGGTCCCTTCTATAATTCTTCACTCTCCTCTTCAGTTCAATCTTCTAAACTCTGACTGAATAAGCATGATGGATCCCTGATTCTGCCATTGACTTGTGATTCTTCCTGAAAAATGTCTTTTAAGCCCATTAAAGCTGAATGATTAGAGATCCTTTCCTTCCATTGAAGCAAAGGGGTATAGTTTCTGTGTATGCGAGGCAGAAGAATCGTAATATTATCTGCCTGTTTAGGGATCCTAGGCACTTAGTAAGTTTCTTGCAGTTCAGCTCTGAAAAAACTTCCTTGTGTCTTGCTCTCAGCCCCAGCAGCTGATTTTCGGGGGGGGGGGGGGCAGGTGTAGTTGAGTAAGGATAAACAATGAAAATGAGGTGTCTGGACTTGCATAATGTCACCGTTTGGGTACAGCTTGAGCTGTTAAAAGGTTTAAGGGCTTGTTCTGTGAGTTCAAAAGCTTTCAATGCAATCCAGAGAAGAATTAAGCCTTGCTTGAGTCCACCGAAATAAAAACCTAAAACAGAGCACTTCAGATGGGTGGGATATAAATATTATGATTATTCTAGGCTTTCACAAAATGTTCTTTCACCAAACGACTGAGACCTAAAGGAAAACAAAAGCTTTGTTTGGGCTTCAATGTTTAAATAATGACCTCACACTTTCTGTTTGTCTGCCATGACGATCGGCTGTGCCAATTAAACCGGAGCCCTTCCGTGCTGGTAATTGAGGATAATATGGGAGTAATTATCCTCTCAACCCTCCCAGGGTGGGGGGGGCACTCCACCCACAGATCGTCCAATACCTTCTGCCCATCCAGAAGGAAGAAGGGGCAGGGGGTGCTGGGTGTAAGCCGCATGGTTGTGACAACTATCCAAAGCCGGTGCCATGAACAAAGGACACCTGTTTTTTAAGATAAAAATTTGGAGTTAACTAACAGGCATGCTCTGAACCAGTGGAGATAAAATAACTTGCTAATTTAATCAGCCACTGAGAAGGATTTGATCTGGCGAAAGACTTTTGTCGGGACCAAAACACAATGGCTTGAAATGCTTAAGTGGATGCTATCTTAATTACGAAATGGACTGTGTGAAATTTTGACTATGATTCTGGCAGTGATTATTAAAGGAAAGATGAAAGGAATCCCTGATGGAGCTATCATTTCAGTGTGGAGGCATCATCTCATTAACAGCTAGAAGAAGGCCAAGACAGAGTTTTGGATATCTGCCTGAGATTAATAGTGGACTATGACTCAGGTGGCGCTGTGGTCTAAACCACAGAGCCTAGGGCTTGCCGATCAGAAGGTCGGCGGTTCAAATCCCCACGATGGGGTGAGCTCCTGTTGCTTGGTCCTAGCTCCTGCCAACCTAGCAGTTCGAAAGCATGCCAAAAAGTGCAAGTAGATAAATAGGTATCGCTTCAGCGGGAAGGTAAATGGTGTTTCTGTGCGCTGCTCTAGTTTCAGTGTTCATTTGCACCAGAAGTGGCTTAATCATGCTGGCCACATGACCCAGAAAAACTGCCTGCAGATAAATGCCAGCTCCCTCAGCCTGTGAAGCGAGATGAGCACCGCAACCCCCGAGTCATCTGTGAATGGACTTAACTGTCAGGGGTCCTTTACCTTTTTTTTTTAATGATGCAGTTAAAATACCTCTGTGTGTAGAAAATGAAACTAAAGATCACCGAGGAGCAGAAACAACAGTACAAAGGACTGACCCACTCGCTGAATTAATTGATGGATTAATTGTATAGCCCCAGGGGGAGGCGAGCCTTTTTTATTCTCCTTTGATATATATGTATTTGCAGTTTTACCTGGTAAACCTCCCCCGAAAGGTAACAGTTTGAAATACTCAAGTGGGTTTGAAAGAATACTGCTGCTATCTCCTCAGTGGAAGGAAGGAAAAAATTATGAACTGGAGCTACTTTGTTTTTGCAGAGGTAACAGCATTTTGAATCCCCGCGACAGGGCGAGCTCCCGGTGCTCGGTCCTTGCTCCTGCCAACCTAGCAGTTCGAAAGCATGTCAAAGTGCAAGTAGATAAATAGGTACCGCTCCGGCGGGAAGGTAAACGGCGTTTCTGTGCGCTGCTCTGGCTTGCCAGAAGCGGCTTAGTCATGCTGGCCACATGACCCGGAAGCTGTATACCGGCTCCCTCGGCCAATAAAGCGAGATGAACACCGCAACCCCAGTTGGCCACGATTGGACCTAATGGTCAGGGGTCCCTTTACCTTTTTACCAGCATATTGGGAGATGGTGCGAGACTAGGGAGGGGAATTCTGGATGGCTGCCTGGAGCTAATGGTGTCTTTTTTGTCTGGGACTGTGAGGTATTATGGCTCCTGTTGAAAATGGAATTGCTGGAATGTGAACAACAGGGAGGAAAATATTTCACACAGAACTATGAAGATGAAAGTTTGAACAGACCAGTGATTGTAAAAATAAATGAAAATTAAGTGAAGGATTAAAATTGGAATGGTTTATTGACTAATTAAGAAATGCAATGTGATATTAGATTATTAGAACTCCACGAAATTCAGAGCTTGGGAAGCCACCCAAAGATATATAATTTGGCATTTATATTTGGCTTTTTTGGGTTGTATTGTAATCTGATATGTTTTAATGTGGTTCTTTTTGGATTATTAAAATGGAAAACTTAATAAATATTATATACAAAAATAAATAAATAAATAAAATAAATACTCAATGACATGCCTTTCAGATAAGTGGAAATGAAGCAGCTGGTTGCCATGGTGAAATTATGATGACACTGTAGTCTCAGTGCTGAAGTCCTAAGTCAGATTCAAGGGGGGATTTGCCCCCAAGGTCCTGCCTACCAGTTAACAGTGACCTAAAGTTTTCCAGTAAAACATGAAATGGTGCACACACTACATCTTTTTCGTGCACTTAGTTCATAGCTTTTCTCTTAGTTAAATAATAACAATATTTATTACTTATCCCCAGCTACTATGGGTGGCTTCCAGCAAAATATATAAAATAATGTCAAACATAAAAAACTTCCTGAAACAGGCTGCCTTCATGTATCTTCTAAAAGTTCTGTACTTCTTTATCTCATTGACATCTGACGGGGGGGGGGGTTTCCACAGGGAGGGTGCCACTACCAAGAAGGCCCTCTGCCTGGTTCCCTGTAACTTGGCTTCTTGCAGTGAGAGAACCGCCAGAAGGCCCTCGGCACTGGACTTCAGTGTCCAGGTTGAACAATAGGGGTGGAGACGCCCCTTCAGGTATACTGGGCTTAGGCCTTTTAGGGCTTTAAAGGTCAGCACCAACACTTTGAGTTGTGCTCGGAAACATACTGGGAGCCTTTAGGACTGGTGCTATATGGTCCCGGTGGCCACTCCCAGTCACCAGTCCAGCTGTTGATTCTGGATTAGTTGTGGTTTCCGAGTCACATTCAAAGGTAGCCCCACGTAGATCGCATGGCAGTAGCCCAAGAGGGAGATAATGCTTGTCATCCTAAGAGCTGTGCTTCCCTCTTCCAGTTCTATGTGGTGAACGCGAACTATGATAAGCTTGCAGTTTTTACACAGGTCAGTTTAATCCAGCCCCTGTGGCAGTTTATTTCCTGGGACTTCCAAGAGAGAGCCTTGAAGCACTGTTGCACCCATGTCTACTTGGAAGTAAGTCCTACTGAATTCAGTAGGGGTTCCTCCCATGTAGGTGGGATTGTAGCCTTTGCCATTTTGGGAGAGAGCTGCCTGTGGTGCCAAGTAATTAAAAATAAGAATAAATGACTAAAACAAAATCCTTATGTCTGAATAGCAAGCTCGTGGCTGCTTAGGCATCTGCCAGTGTAACGCCACAGTGCTGAAATGGTTTCAAAATTTCTGTTTTTGGAGTGCATTATGTGACTTTCTGAAACTTGCAGCATTTTTTGGAGTGCTACATTAAAAGTACAGTGGTGCCCCGCAAGACGAATGCCTCGCAAGACGGAAAACTCGCTAGACGAAAGAGTTTTCCGTTTTGGAGGTGCTTCGCAAAACGAATCTCCTATGGGCTTGCTTCGCAAGACGAAAGTGTCTTGTGAGTTCCTGCGGTTTTTTCCCCCCTTTCCCCCCCCTTTTTCTAAGCCGCTAAGCCGCTTATCTGCTTATCCGATAAGCTGATAAGCCGCTAAAAGCCGCTAATAGCGCTAATAGCGCTAATCCGCTAATCCGTCAATGGGCTTGCTTCGCAAGACGAAAAAACCGCTAGACGAAGAGACTCACAGAACGGATTCTTTTCGTCTTGCGAGGCACCACTGTATTCTCTTGGAAGTCTTCCGTTGTAACGTAAGAAAGCTGCCTGGATCAGGCCAGTGGCCCAAGTTCAGCATCTTATTCTCACAGATGTCTGTGCAAAAACTGCAAGCAGAAAGGGCAAAATAAATAAATAAATAACACCAATCCCTCAACTGCCAAAACAAACTGTTTTGCAGCTCTGTAAAAATTAAAGATTTTGGGAAAACGTTTTAAAAATGGGAGGGTCAGGGGGCCTTGGTGGGTGCTAAGGAGGGTATCTTAGGGTGCCATGGAGTCCACATGCCACACGTGTCACAAGGGGGGGGGCTCCTCAGTTACCTTTTGTTTATTTATAAATGCGCCCCCCCCTTGAGGCCTAGTTTCCCCAGCCCTGTCTATGGATGGTCTCCTGTGATGTCACAAACAGACATAGTAGCTGAGGGGAAAGAGGCAGTTTCTTATTCTAGAATTTCAAACACAGAAGGGGGAAATTTTAACCCCGGAGGCTGCATTTCCCTCCACACAACACTAGTCCAATGTACAAATGAACAGAGCAATGAATTAAGCCTTATCTTTGCACAGGAAGCTGTTCAAGGAATGACATGCAGAGAGGAAGCACCACACCCAATTAAACCTATTAAGAAATAGCTTGTCGAACCCCCTGAAATGCAGGGAACACAGCTGAAATTTAGGAACCATTTGTATTTCTGCATGTGTTTATAGTATTCATATTGCTATTCGGAATACTCAAAATGTGTGTGGGGGGGGAGGGACCTCAGCTGCACACCCACCTTAAACCATGTCCCTTTTCCAATGGCATGGGGGGGGTCATTATCTAGCACCCCCTTCCCTGCTTCTCTCAAACTCTTTCACATTAACCCTTCAGTGCTGTTCAAACATTTTGAAAGAGGGCCAGATTTGATGAAGGGCCGTGAGGTCCACGGCAGGGCACAAAATCCGTTTCGGGGGCCTAATCCGGCCCGATGGTTGCTTCAATCTGGCCCCTGGGGCAGTTTATTTCCTGGGGTAAAATCCTAAAAGAGCTCAACAACAACTTTGGTTGGCCGTTTGGTCGGCCCTCATGGCCCTTCACTTCATCAAATCTGGCCCTCCTTGAAATACAGTGGTACCTCTGGATGCGAATGGGATCTGTTCCGGAGCCCCATTTGCATCCAGAAGTGAACGCAACACGTGTCCGCGCGTCTGCGCATGCACGGGTCATGATTTGTCACTTCTGCACATGCGCGTGACGTCATTTTGACCGTCTGTGCATGCGTGAGCGGAGAAACCCGGAAGTAACAGCTCTGTTACTTCCGGGTCACCGCAGCGCGCAACCCGAAAATACTTATCGCGAAGCTACTTCAGCCTGAGGTATGACTGTAAGTTTGGACACCACTGGATGAACCGCCTTGGATCCTTCCAGTGCTACAATTCTATGATACTTTGCTCCACAGTAACATATCATAGGGCTTTTAGTATAGCCTCTCTTGTTCTGTGGAACAGCATTCCTGTCAAGAATGACAGATATCCCCTATCTGCACTTTCTGGAAACAACATTTCTGTTCTGATGGGGTTTCCCAACTTGATGAATTGGTCTCTGGCATGGGTGTCACCTTTGTATTGCTTTTAAAAATATATATCTCCTGTTTTCTGTGCTGCTTTTAACTGTTTTTTATTGTATCTCTTATACTGCATGTGTGGAATGTGATGAACGAGTGAATGAATGAAAGAACAGATAAATAAATAAATAAATAACAGGACACTCTGCTTTCACTCCTAATTCTATGGAGTCTGTAGATTCCAGACAGTCTTTAAATGATGATGACATCCACCGCATACATTTAAAGCACATAGCCTCTCCTAAATAATCTTGGGAACTGTAGTTTCCTTCTTAAAAGCTGCAATTCCCAGTACCCTTAACAAATTACAGTTCCCAGCATTCTTTGCGGGAAGCAATGTGCTTTAACATTTTGGTTTGGTTGTGATCAATATCTCATTGGGAAATACATTCCCAATTAGCTAAAAAGTTAATATCACTCCTAGATCAATTAAAGTATGTTTCATATGCCAGGTGGATCACCACTGTTAATAATCCCCCCCCCCTTTTAAAAAGGATACCATGATTCTCACAGTTCTGGAGCTCCAAAAGTGTCCTTTAGCTCTATGGTGCTAAATGAGAGAAATGTAAGTGAAAACCATGTAATTGAAAGCTAGATTAGTTCATTTTGTGCAATAGGATTGTGGGGTTTATCAGCCCCTCTCATTTGCAGCCACAAACAAATTGGTCAAGGTGGAGAGACACAAAAAGTGAAAGAGAGAATTTTCAGGGCTTGCATTTGCCTTCTGTGGCAGCTCTTGGCATAAATTTTAATCTATAAGGATTCAGGCTTGCTCAGGCACCGGGTCCCGCCCCACTTTCTGGGTGCCCGGTGTGGGCCTGTGCTGTCAAGCACAGGGTGCATGTGTACATCCCACAGGAGAAGGAGGCCCATTACAGACTCTGGAAGGCCTGATGGGGCCCGTTGTGGCTGCGGGAAGGCCTGACAGGCCCTCCTGCGGCCTCAGTGTGGTGTAGTGGTTAAGAGCAGTAGTCTCGTAATCTGGGGAACCGGGTTCGCGTCTCCGCTCCTCCACATGCAGCTGCTGGGTCACCTTGGGCCAGTCACACTTCTTTGAAGTCTCTCAGCCCCACTCACCTCACAGAGTGTTTGTTGTGGGGAAGGAAGGGAAAGGAGAATGTTAGCAGCCTTGAGACTCCTTCGGGTAGTGATAAAGCGGGATATCAAATCCAAACTTCTTCTCATCAGGCCTTCCCACAGCCTCAGTGGGTCTTCCTACGGCTGTGATGGGCCCCATTGGGCCTTCAAGAGGCCACAACTGGCCTCCAGAAGTTAAGGAGGCATGTGGTGGCAGGGGGAATAGTGGTGGCACACAGAGCCACTCCAGGGCCCCCTGGAGTTGGCTGCCCCTCTCCTCAGCTGGGCAACATGTCCGGCTAGGCTATGCACAGTGGGCTCCCTCAGGGCCACGCTTGGTAGAAGCATATGTTCTGCTGCTGGGTGTGCTGACATCGGGCACCCGCCCCCCACGGCATGTGCAGCCCGGGCATAAAAAATTGTGGGTGCCCTGCCCCTTCATGGGTTGTGGGGGTTAGAGCATCCACAGACCCACACACTCAGTGCCTATGCAGTCTTGGAAATTATTTTATTAGTTATATCTTGAGTGATTTATTAAGGGATAATCTAATGAGAACAAATGGGTTCTCCCAAATAAAACAAGGCAGGTTTTAATGGTCCGGAGAAAGAGTTGGGGTGTTAATCTTTCTTCTCTATCCAGGGGGTTCTTCTTCCTTTCTTGTTACAGAAGCTAAATTAGGATTTGGCTCATAGATATCTGTGCATTTATCATCCCCCAATGAGCTGGCCTGCAACTT